TAGCTCTTAAAAGCTTGATGAGTTACATGTACTTAGCTGATGTCTAATGACCTGTATTTACATGTATCTATTTTTACCCCTTATTTTCTGAAATAAATTCACCACAAAATTCTCAGTTAACCGTCAGTTAACTAAAGAGTCTTGAAATTAAATAGCCTCTAGGTTTTACACTTTTTTATATGAATTGTAAAAAGAGTCATAAAGCTGTCCTCGAAGTATAAGTACTCCATAAAGTAGTGAATATACTGAAGCGGCTATTTTATGGTTTTTCCTATTTTGATAGTTGTACTTGTCAAATATACTAGTAATCTCTAGCTGTTACCGAATATTTGTAAAAAGTCAAAGAGGTATTCGATTTACTCAGTAAATTACTTTGAACAATTAAATATTTACTAGTACATTATGAAAATGATATTTTTTTCAAAATCAAAACAAAACAAAAATACCGTTTTAAATGGTATTTCTGTGAAATGTAAATTTCCTAAAAACAAAAAGAAATAAAATGTTCTTCAATGCAAGGTCTTGCAAACTAATAGTTCTTTGTAGAGTTTGAGATCGTTTACGAGTCATGAATACATGTATGAAATTAAATAAGAAATGAATGTGATCAGAAAAATGGATAATTAAACTAGAATCAACTGAAAACCTTATAAGAAGTGCTACATGTACACTCAACATCAAGTTAACATTTACCAATAAGTAGAGATTTTGGGCAGATTAAATTTAAAATATTATGTGATGCAAAGCTAGGAAACCACAACATTATTGTTTCACAAATATGGGATTAAAAATATGTCTATCACTACATGTATCAGAAACTTTATACTGTAATCGTAAAACGCATAGAGTTTTAAAAGTCCCACAAACTCATTGAATGTAAATGTCTAATAGGTACAGGTACAATATGGGTATTTCGAATACACCGTTAAAGCGGAATAATCTTGGATAGCCAACTATATGAATTTAATGGATTCCTTAAACGGATATTACGAATTAGGATATAGCTAAGTAATTCTATGATAAGGTCCCTGCAACTTTGTTATAACCGATTTTTACTCTGTATTATAGGTTCTAAAGCTTGGTCATTTGCATCATTAAGCAAAAGTCGAGCACTTAAAAAAAATATAGGCAATATATTATAACCTACATATAGAGCTTGTTTCTCCCGGTTTGCTCGTTACGCAAGAGCATGATGGCACAATGCAGGCTTTCGAGAAAGTCGGCAACCTCGTTTGGAGCCAGCATTCAAAAGTTATATGGTCGTTACGGAACCTTGTTTTCGTGTAGAATTTGTCGTTGGATCTCATGTTTGTCGACGTTTTTATATAAATTCAAAGTCCGTTGTTTTCACAATAATCTGTGGATTTTCCGTTTATCCGATCAAGAAAAGTAGCACAAGGCAATTGTGACTGGTTGACAAGGGATTCTTACTCCTCCTATAGGACCCTGATGCCTCGCCTCGTTCCCGAGGCCTTCTGATTGTGCAAGTGCTTGCACAATCGGAAGGCCTCGGGAACCAGGTTACCTGATGCCCTATGGCCTTTCCAGGATTCTCAGTGTTTTGTATCATATTATCAGATTTGTATTTTTTGTGGTTTTTTGAAACGATAACTCTTTCAATTTAACTCTTTTAAGAAATAACACCAACAACCTCATTTATGCTCCTGTAATCGAAGATTCTGGTATATAGTTTTTGCCCTGACCATAAGTGTGTAAGAACTTTAACCTTGCCCATAACTATTTAGTGGATGGGACTATGGCTTTCATATTCAACAAGTTGATTCCTCGTGACATGGCTTTTCTAAGGGTACCACTAAATTTGAACTTTGACCCAATTTTACAAAAAAATATCAACATTGGCAATAACTTTTAAACATTAAATACTAAAGCGTTCATTTCTTTTTTACGGGTGTATAACTTAGAAAAAGGCCTTCCTTTGGACCTTGATTTTGTAGATTGACATGCATTTGAAAAACTTCAACCCTCGCCATAATCTGTCATATGGGGCCATCAGTGTTTCACAAAATCGTTATGTTTTGTATCCCGAATCTTGAATGTATCAATCATAGTTCAAACAATTATAATGAATGTATAACGAATGTTTTTTCACTTCATGAAATTTCTCAATTCTTAGCTTAGTCCAAAAGCTTTAGAGACTGCATTTAGCTTTATGCCATCTCGAAATCTCTCGCCAAAAATGAGTTCGGGCCATGATTGAGAGAAAAAAATGAAAAATTTTATGAACATAGTCAAGATTTTATGCATGTTATATGTCATGTGTAACTCTCTTTTCAAAAAAAAATCATATAGGAGTTTGAGTACTTTCCAAACAGTAATTTTTATACTTTTTAACATGACAAAAAACAACAACCCCATACTTTCTGTAATCAAAAGAGATAAATTTGAACTTCCGTGTCATAATAAACATACTAGTACACATATTAGCGTTGGCATACATGTTATGCATGTTACTTTTCTTTTATTGGAATTGCATTTGAAAAAAGCAATTAGCTTGCCAACTTTTTCATTTTTAAAGTCGTGATTATCGTTGTGGATTGAGTGAAGTAACTAAAATAAAGTCAAGGACACAAAGTAAAAATCACTTTCATAATTAATGCAACAGCCCTAATAGAATGTCTGTGAACTGACCAATCATTATAATCCATTATAGTTAAAGCACGTGCATTAAAATGCATTGTTTAAGGAAGTTGCTATTTTTAAAAATAAATTTTCCAAGTTTAAAAATGTTTCAATTAGTCTGCATTGTATAGAAAAAGTTCCACAGACAGGTACGATTATTATTTGTTTGGTTTTTAACATGATAAAATATTCTTTGATACAATTTCTAAAGTTTTTGCATTTTATTTTATTAGGGATTTGATCTTTAATTTCTTTTTCTGAGAAAAAGAAACAAAACTCAAGTCGACAATGTCGACAACTGCAGACTGGTGATTATATTATAAAATGATAAATATCTACGAAAAAAGAGAGATATGCTTAACATTAGATTACACTTTCAACGCAGGGAGGTAGTTTACCAGTAATTTTCAAATGTAAAAAAAAAATCATGTAAATTGCACTGAATTCATGCGAAACTGATATAATTCAATGAAAAAATTTAACTTGTGTTAAAATTAGTTTCTTTGTTAGTAATTCTTTGTCTTGAAATATACATTCAACAAAGCTTGCAGTTGACAAACATTTGATAATTATCATTTTCTTATTTGAATGACAGTGATTATTACACCCAGACGTATCGACTAAATTTAATGCCCCTTTTTGACATTACTGGAGAAATTAAATGGATAGTTTCAATGTAAATTAAGTAAGGTTTTAATTTTGTAATATGTCGGAAAATTCAGATTATTTGAATTCAACAAAAAGGAGAGGCAGGTGAAAATAGACTAATTTCATTATATTTTAAAGTCTCGATATCTATTATAATCAAAACATACATGTACTTTTTTTCAATACAAAAATTAAAGATCGTCAGAAAGAAAAATTTCCTGTTGAATATAATTGTATAAATAATTCATGAAGAAGTGGTTGAGTTTCACTTTCATTTTCATTATTCTTTTTAATGAAAACATACTACGCAATTGCGCATTCAAGCCTTTAATTAGGAGGGTTTTGTAATCTTTGTACATACATGTAACAATAACTTAAATTTCAATAGCCCGTCTCAGGCAAAAATTGACCATTTTCCTTCCGTGCTCTTGAGTATGAGTATTGACTATATTGAGCATCTCGAATAAGTTGGGATAGGTAAGCATTATTTTTTTAAGTATATTTAAAAAAAAATATATATATATATATATATATATATATATATATATATATATATATATATATATATATATATATATATATATATATATATATATATATATATATATATATATATATATATGCTTCGTTCATGTTGTTTGAAGATGAAAATATGTCGGCTAATAAAAAGGCATTATCTCAATCTGATTTCCATCAATTCGTTGGTAGGCCTTGTCTTAGAAGACTAATTGTACATTACTTTGTCAATGAAGAACACTAGCTTCCTTAACATATCTATTTCAGTACTTTTGTGTAGAATCAAGCTGATTCTTGACAGAGTAATTTTGCTGATGTCCTATTAAAAGATTTTTATATTGAAGAACCAATTACCTTGATATTAAAAAGCCTAGTTTTTAATTTATTGCAATGATGCCGTTGACCGGTAATGTATATTGTAGAAAATCTATCTTTACATACCATTGTCATAATTAACTCTTCTGACAAGATTTTCATTTCGTTATAGACGATATTTGGTTATAAAATTGATTGTTTTTTCATAGAGGTATCAGCAGCTCTTTAAAAAAAACACACACACACTACATGTCCCACATGTGCGTTTTCTTACTAATGTGTTTTCGTAGTAAATATAATTATGCAATTCAAAATGTAAGTTTAGAGCAATTTGAAAGATACATACGCTTAATATGACTACTAGTTATAAGTATAAACCTAAGTATTTCATAATGGACCAATCATATTCTCAGTTAATGTGCTATGTCGGTCCAAGTCAGAAATCATTCGCAACTTAAAATTTGTAAACACACTGCCTTTCCAATGGACCAGAAAAAAGTATTGATGTTAGAGCCATAATAAAGAATTGCAATTACTTATGAGTTATATGACTATCTTTTTTTCTTTCGGAGACAAATGCGTTAACTTAAGAGGAAAAACTAATCATTATCTTTCAAAGAACTTTTTCCTTTTAATTTAATGCTAAATTATATAAGCTTAAATGTTTTCCTTGATGTAATGATCCTCATTTTACTTACATAGTGGAGAACTTGAGTAGTATATATCTCATAATTTCTAAAGCGTTTAAGGCAAGCTTTTAGATATTATTGTGCGAAATAATCTTTTTCAATAAATTCTGACTGCTAATAGAGTCATTAGTTCTTTTTGTTTCCTTATATGTTTATAACAATTCTGATATATTGATTGTTTCTTTGTTTCAGAAATTTAATATTCATTCTAACAAAGATGAATGAAACATGTGAGAAAGGTTTAATCATAATATATGCTGTTTTGAAATGGCTTCTGGATGTAGTGGATTTAGGGATGGATTGGGACTTTTACATTGAAGTACAACACACAGATCAAGAAAGTATTACACGTGCAGTAAAATTAAAACGAGCAATCCTCGGCTTTGCAATCATCGGTACCTTAATGTTCACCGCAACTTTACTTTTATTTTGCATAAAAATTTGCATAGAGAAACGACACGGAGAAAACAAATCCTATGACGATGTCAAGAAAGCTATTTCGGTCTTTTCTTTTTTGTGTACCTGGATTGAGGATCTTCCTCAAATAATTCTAGCTGTAATTGTGGCAGTAAAATCAACCGAGCTGATCTCCGATATTCAGCTGGTCAAGGCCTGGTATGCCTTAGTGGAAGCATCATTGCAAGCTACTATAACACTAATAGAACTCAAACTGTGTTGCGTGAACAAGCCAGAAATCTGGAAACGGGTGTTGTTAATCTTGGAGCTGATTGGCATCACCTTCATCTTTCTGCTCTGTGCGTTTTTGCTGATTGAACTTTACCAAGATAACTTTAAAGAGATTTATCCCCTGGAAAATGCTGCCATGAATTTCACTAGCAACGCCACAACTTGGAGCACTCCAATAATTTCTACCCAGCTTACGACATTGGACATTTCTACCAAACAATGACATCATTCCCAAATCAGGCTCTTTCCAGATGTTGTGTACTTTCCAGACAGTACACTGTGTACTCCTTTATACAATACTTTTGTTCAAACAACGTATTCAAAGTGTACAAATATATGTAAATATTCAAATCAAACCGATTTCCGTTAGTAACTTAAGATTTATTGAACGTTCATTCTATGATAATTATATTTTCTTTTAATTTTCGGACATAATTGACTGTATATGGTAAGTTGAGAATTAAAAACATAGGTAATCAAAGATTACGAAGCTCACTTTAACGAATGTTATCAGTTTAAGTAATGCAAATCTCACATCATATTTTATTAACAGTTAGTATTTATTCTGACAACAATATTCAAGCAAGTTCTGTTTAAATAGGTCTTAAAGTTCACTGGGATTGATCTGTTCAAAAAATTTTAACCTGGTTATTCGTTTGGAATATGTAAATCACATTCAGCATCCGAAGCAAGTTTCAATTGTTCATCCTTGGATGCATCATCCATGCAAGTTTGATCCCTGTGGGGCTTATAGCTACTTGGGAATAACCTTGTCACTAATCTGGAAAATGTAGGTCAGATCCAGCATCCAAAGTAAGTCTGGTAGTGTCTCACCCTAGATGCATCATCCATGCAAGTTTGGTATGCATAGGGCCTATAGTTACTTGGGAATGGACCTGCTCCAAAAACTTGAACCTGATCACTCATCTGGAAAATGTAGGTCAGATCCAGCATCCGAAGCAAGTTTGGTAGTGTCCATCCCTAGATGCATCCTCCATGCAAGTTTGGTCCGGATAGGGCTTATAGTTACTTGGGAATTGACTTGCTCCTAAAAAACTTTAACCGGGACGCCGACGCTAACGCCGACGCCGAGAGTATAGACTTCGTCGAGGTGAGCTAAAAAACATGTATGTTTCATATGTATATAAATCACATCTGCATTCAGGGGTATATATCACTTGAAAGTTCATGTTACTCGGAAACTTATGTTCATTTGGAAACATTTAATGTTGTTCCTTACCATAGACATGGTTTTTCAATAAAGTGATTACAGACTAAGTCTACTATATCCTTTGTTTCAGATGTTGTTCACACACATTCTGTGTTTCATAAGTAAATTGTGTTTTCTTTTGTAAGAACGTAATACACGTATATGAGACTTCTTCGGAGATATTTTTCTCAAAATTTTACCCCAGACTTGTAACATAAGTTTAAGAAGTATTTTATTCAAAATATACAAAGAAGTATACAATATGAATATGGATTGAACAGACTTATAACATTAAAGGTGATTTATAAGGCAGATACCATCTGCTAGAAGATAATCTTACAAATTGGACAGCATCTTGGTAGTATCTACGCAGTAGGAAGAATAAGGAAAAAACTCAATTTTCCACTGTTTAATAATATTAAACATTTAAAATAATAAGTTAAAACATTAAATAATGATTATAGTATAGATCTATAGAATATAAAAATAAAATACTTCAGAAAAAAAATACAAAGTTAAAAAAGTATTTGATGACAGGCTCTTAACTGAAGTAAATTTTCAGATTTTTTCACATAAGTAAAAATAATGGTACTTCAAAAATACCATTCTGTATTGCACAAACTTGAATTGATTAGAAAAGTAAACTATCAAAAAATGGACGGATCACATGATTAATAGCCTAATCATGTATAAACAATTATAGCAGTTGAATATGATAGGAGAGTTTAAAAGAAAAATACTAGAATTGCACATTTGTAAATTGTACATATAAACATTACAAATCTTCTAATGTTTAAAAGTCATACGTATATGACAAGCTGTTGTGTTTCCTGTAAAATCTGTGCCCAGCTACTGTACGATTTTTTAAAGCAACTGTAGCTTTAAAACACAGTGAGAAGCAAGAGTAGAGTTTTAATTAAAATAGAACAGTGATATCATAGTCTGATATGGTCAAAATGGAAAAAAGCTAATATTTAATAAAGTTTATATTCTTTTTCCTATGTAAGAACATCGCTTGGCTCCGATTCCACTTGAACAATGCATACACAACTTTCCAGGACACCCCATGAAATCGGCTATTTTGCCATTTTCGTCTTTTCGGATTGCCATATCACAAAGGCGACATTTACCTAGCAATTTACTTTGACCTTGGGAATGTCGTAAGCAGAGATACGCCTCCGAAACTTTGTGTCCAAAAACATGAGTGCCACAAATGACGCATGCGTCTTTATTTAGCGGAAAGTGTTTTGCTTTGAATCCTCTGTAGGCATTGGAACATCCTCGACATAGAACTACTGGCATCGTGACCTTTAACACCGGATCTGCTATTTGCATACAGCGTGCCGACTATCGGTCAGAAAATAAAATTTTAATTATAGAATTTGAGATTCCTGCTTTTAAAACATGAATTATATCACATTCAAATCTTTTAAAACAAAAGGTCAAATTATTACATCGATCATTTTGGTCACAATACTATGACGAATTTAAATATTATAATATTTATGATATAAGAAATCCCTTCTTGAGTTCTACAACTATTTCAGTGGTGTATATTGTTTAGATAGGTTTCTTTTTCTATCAAACAGTAGCGACTATAATTTAGTTACTTTTCCAAGTCAAAATTAGAAACCTCTGACTCTGAGGAAATAAGACTTTTCCATCGAAATGAGAAAGCTAGAGTGTCTAAATATATTTTTTGTTCAGCTTTAATTATCATTTTCGATTACATCACCCTTTTGGGACAAAGTAGTCACTACGAGACATCGGTAAAATAAGTCAGAAAAGCTCACTTAAGTCTATATCTTAAGTATGCTGAGAAAGCTTGATGGAATCAATTTAAAAATATTAAACCATAATTATAAGAAATCGCCTTTTCTTTAAACGTGTTATTTTTTAGGTATATTTTTCAGTAAAAGAAAAAAAACGAAAATCTCACCTGTAAATACATACTTCTCATGTAGTCACCTAACATCGCAGCACTCTCTGAATGGTGGATGAAATCAACCAATCTATCAATGAACATGTTCTCTTAATATTCTTGCTCCTATATATTCATATACATGTACTAATAAAACAAGTCACTCAATAAATTAATTAGAAGAGCAATAGACAAAACATACTTATCATATAATTCTGCACGTTGACAATGAAATGGCACCTTCAGTCTTTTAACGACATTATTGGCACACCAGGACATGAGATAATCAACTATGACAGTATGGTACATGATCTGTGCCTTTTTATCATTCAGATACAGTTTTTCTATGTTCTAAAAAAAGAAGTATTTTAAACTTCAGAATACATGTAAATCATGCTTGGTTCCTTTTGAAAAACATAATTGAAAATTTCTTCAGCTTATCTACCTCATAAAATGCCCCATGAATGAATCTAATGTTCCTGTCCACACCGGCCATGTATGTGAAAGGCTTGAGAGCTCTACGTATTTTAGACCAATACAACGCAGGAATTGGTTCTTGTATATCCATATCCCCAAGAATATTCTGCATGTCGATTTCAGGCAACCCCTGCGTTAAGGCTAGAATACTCAATGCCTAAAAGATGTGAAAGGTATAATATTATCCATCACAGTGGTATAATACATAATCATATTATCATATGTATTATATTATCCACAGTATCATATTCTTCATCGAGGTATTATTATACATCGCGCGAATAACAGAATTCTATAAAGCCTTCACATTTCAGGCATCTTTTAAATAGATTTTACCTATAAATAATAGCATGCAACTTTATTTCAAATATGCTCTTTCTAACACGGCACAAAACATACTTAAAATTTTGAGGAAATATTGAAACAGACAACCAAACAACAAGCTGAACCAACATGCAAAAGGACTACCAAACAAACAGTTTTAACCTAACAGAGATTAAAAATAATCGATTCAACAAAACAAAGTATTAGTATAAGACCTTTTCCATTTTCCCACTATCGTCATTTGCGACTAGATCTCTAAGAATACCCTCAAGAAGTCCATCCACAGAGTCAGATAGTGACTGTATGTGCTGATTCAGGGTTCGGAAATCTCCAAATGTCCTCAACTGTTCTGCTAGAAGGGTCAGCCAAAGTGGATTTAATGAGCTGGGTTTAGACAAAATTATATCCATTTGATCGTTGTCAAGTTTCTGCGGAGAAAAATGAAGAGCATACATTAATTTTGTGTTGATGATGTGTAAATACTAGTATTTGAAATAATTTAAAGTTATTAACGACGTACAAAAAAATCTTGTGTCTCTAACAAGCCAAGAATCTATTTAAGTTTTTCTTTTTCTCCAAAACTCTGTTCATAGATGATACAAAATTTCTATTTAATTTTAAGTATTCATATATGTAGCTAATTAATAAAAGATCGCATAAATCAAAGCTTACCTTATTAAACATGATAAGATATTGAGCGATGATTTCTTTGGCTTCTGATTTTTTCAACTGAGGAATATTTATGAGGAAACATGTGTGTTCCTTCAATCGATGGAGTGTGGGTAAGTGATCACTGGATGTAGAAACAATGGCTCGAACATTACCGGGAAAACGAGGAGGCAACCAACTTAAATGTTTGTACTGGTCTCGATCTGCTAACTTTATAAATATGAAAAGTCAAAAAAAAATTAGTTTCACTGCTTCTTTTAAAATATAAAATGCGATACTTAAAATCAGATTTCTTGCGAGGAAAAACAATTGTTGATTACTTGAACAGGAAGAATAAAACTCACTGTGTATTTGCAATTTGATTTTAGACTACATAATGCAATTGAAAATCATATTAATTCAAATACAGACATGATTACCCACTTCGTTCATACCATCCAAAACAATCAATATTTGATTTTCTTTTTGTCGCAGTTTCGCAAACTCTTCTTTAATTACTTTCATACAGAACTCTGTAACATCACTGGTGTCCTCTGGAATATCTTTATTTAAAAGAAAGGTTTAAATCATTTCTCAGCTTTTAAAATACAGCAAAACATTTGGGGGGGGGGGGGGGCAAAATGATTATCGTATTTCTTTTCAACTGCTGTACATAGTTCAATGACAAAGAAATTATTAAATATTAAGATCAATTGTAAGAGAATCCGTTAAATGCAGTCTGAGAAAAAAAAAATCAGATAATATCATTGTTAATACCTATTTGTTCTCCTTTGAGGAATTCTGCCAATCGCTTCAGTAAAATATTTTTCTGAACACTATTTTCAGAAATACCAACAAAATGGTAAAATACTTTCAATCCCACCTACAAATTAAAGAGAATGAAATAATGTTACATGCATGTACCCATTATTTTCACAATTTTTAGCTACCAACGAAATTGTATACCTATATCTCTGGATTTTAAACTAAGTCCTTGAATTTAACTCAATCAAATATAATAATATAAATATAAACTGTTGTATATGTAAGCATCTGCTCTAATTAAGTCACAATATTGTGCAAAATTAAAATAATGATAATGCGAATATAATCTTTCAGAATATCCAGTCACTGTTCCTGTATATATTGTCATTTATTGACATCCAATGATATGTAAACATGTAGGTAGCTTACACACTTTTAAATCCGGTTATCATGCTTATTTATTCTTATGTAAACATCTCACTTTTTATAGGTAAATGTACTATATATGCACATGCATTGGAAATAATTAATTTATCGTAATTCTATATTTTCTAAATAAATACTCGGGCCCGAGATGATGCGCTTATGATTTTTGATCGGGATCGAGATTCATAAAGGAAGTTGTTTACACAGAAGGGTGCAAATGTGAGTACTCAGAGAAGTCAAGATTTTCTTTCTTTACCATGTTTACAGGGAGAAACATTTTTTGTCAGTACCAAGTTATTACTGTATTCTGGGATCTTAACCAAATTTTATTGCTTGTTCATTAGAGTGAATGTTATAATTTAAAAAAAAGAGTGCTCAATAATACATTGTGATTAATATAATCACTATAGTTGACTATGCAATAACTACATCAGTTTCATGTGTTTATTATCCCATATCTTATTATGATATCTATATAACTGTCCATTCATGACATTTTCCTATAGAAAATGTCCAATTGTGTTAGGGTATCGTCTGAAAATACAAAAAATAAAACTATATTCTGTACATTTTCTTAAAAAAAAAAAACCAACAACTTTTTTTTGCAAACTTGATGTTTCTTATTTATGTGTTTACATATGCCCTGATGTGTAAACCATTCTCTATATTTCAGAAGACAAACAACATATTCTAAAAGATGGACAAGTCATGCAGAAATTCTTTCATCATCCTATATGCTGTTGTAAGATGGCTACTGGAAGTAGTAGATTTAGGGCTGGATTGGGACTTTTACATAGAATTGCAACATACAGATCAACAAAGCATCATCCAGGCAGTAAAGCTTCAGTGGGCAATCCTGGGATTTGCAATCTTTGGTACTGTTATGTTCTTTTCCACTTTAATTGTATTTTGTATAAAAATTTACAAAAAGAGAAAGCAAGAAAACTTGAGCAAATCCTATGAAGATGTCAAGAATGCTATTTCCGTCTTCTCTTTCATCTGTACCTGGTTTGAAGATCTTCCTCAAATAGTCCTAGCTGTAATTGTGGCAGTGAAATCAACTGATCTGATTGCCTACATACAGTTGGTGAAAGCCTGGTATGCCTTAGCGGAAGGATCATTGATAGCTATTATAATATTCATAGAACTTCGATTGTGTTGCGCTAATAAGCCTAACCATTGGAAGCGAGTGCTGTTGATTTGTGAGCTTATTGGTATCACTCTGATCCTTCTGGGCAGTATATTTTTGCAAACAGAGCTTTACCAAGACAATTTTAAAGACATTTATCAAATGGAAAATGCAGTCATGAATTTGACTAGCAATGCCACAACTTGGAGCACTTTAGTTACTTCAGTATGATGTCTTTGTATATAATCATTAACACTGAACAAGTGAAGGGATTTATTTTCAAATTAAACTGTTCCCTGAGCATAGGATTTTTCTGTGATAATTTTTTTCATATCACATAAAAGGGATACATGTGTATATTATAAGTCCCTGCATATGCAAATTGTACATATCTTATTATTCACAAAGTTTAAATTTGCGTGAGGGTGTCTATGGTTTTGTTTAATTTATACTTAATGGTATATATCATGTATATACACTACAGTTACTTTATATTTTGTATATAGTAAGTTCTGACTTTTTTGGTCAACACTCAGCACTTTCAAATGACTATGAATCAATGAATCACATCAGCAAGCAGGTGCATATTGTGTTAAAAAAGATCAAATAACACATATGACTACCGTCATGAGAAAAGGGCCCTTATCTTCTGACGTCACAATGCTCATAAAACGACGTCAAAGTCGCGGTATTGAAAACACGGAAGTAAATGTTGTCGAATACGTTTCGTACACAAGAAATAAAACTGGATTTCAAAGTGTTATAAAAATTCTATATGTATTTGATACGGACATTTTTTAAATATATAATATTATTATAATTTTTTTACTATTTAGTACGTGAATTCACTGATTCATAATTCTATTTAATTAAGTATCTAACTTGATGTTGATATACGCGACATTGGACATGCACATTGCTAGGAACAGCCATAAAAAACAGTGTATATGCCTGACTAATTTAAAGATGCTGCTTATTTGGGTTTTTTTTTTTTTTTTTAGCAATTTACATATACATGCTTAAATCTGATTCATTGTAAGAAGTTTTAATATAAAAAGGTGTATTCCATTTTGCACATGTATACTTTTTTTCAGAGAGAGCGAGCGGAAGATCTTACTTACATAGTATTACCCTTTATAAACGCTACTTCTTGCTGTAAAATTTATACCATAATTTAAAATGTTAATTCATTTTAATTTTAATCCATAGTTAATCATACTGATGTACCCCGATTGCCAGACCACATGAACTGTCGATTTTCATTTATGTGTTTGTGTGTGTATGGGGGGGGGGGGATAAGTAGCCAGGCCAAAAAAAAAAATCTCCGAATACCGGTAAAAAGACAACCGTTTAAAACATAACTCCTCTTTGATTGGATATAGATACTTGTAACTTGAGAGATTAAAACCTTCTACAACAGCAACAAATAATTCTATACTAAATTAAAAGTGAGAGAATATGCTAAGGATATGCTAATATTCTAAGGAGAGAAAAAAAATACGGAGGGTGGGGATGCCATAACAACTTTGCTAAAAATAATTTTTTTTTCAAAAACTAATTTAAAATGATCAAATACATGTAAATACACGGTAAAAGTTGCTAAATTGTTTCAATTTTCATAATTTTTTCCGGTAAATGGAATCTCACTCGAAACTGAACTGCAATATGTTTCAGAATTAAATACAGCTATCGTAGAGTTTTCCCTAAAGCAAATATACTCAATGTTAAAGAAATTAACAATGTTACATCGACAGTGATATTATAAATGAGAATATTTATAAACCAGAAGAAAAATAAAACAATATAGATTAAGCGAAAAACAAGTGATTCTGGATGTAATTTCCGAAAGTTGTGAAAACGTTTAAATCGTGAGCCACATTAACATCAAACCTTAGACAACAAATTAATGAATTCTGAATTTTAGAAAGATAAAAAAATAAAATTAATGTAAGCATTGGTGATGTTAAATGCGGAAAAAAGAGGTTCGTGTAAAACTTTCATGAATGTAAAATATATTTTACTGACTATTGTAATAATGATATGAAATTTAAGCACATTTTTTAATGAAATCTTGGACGTTGAGTCTCAACTCTGATACATTTACCAAAATACTCCGCATATAACGAGATTAATTTCTTCCGTTGTAATCAAAATACTTAAGTCTATTTCATAATCTTAATATGGCTTTAAAGAAAGGAAATAATAAACAAACACAAATATTCTTGCTGTTAAAGAAAAATATTGTCTATTACATGTATATATAGTCGCTCGCAAGTACCAGGGGTAGGGGGTACATTGAAAGTCCAGTTGCCCCCCCCCCCCCCACATTTATTGCTGCAGAATACTCAAATTCGCGCACTACAGGACAAGACAATAAAGAGTCTGAAACTACCCCCCCAATGGAATTTTCGAGTTTAGACAGCCAAACCCCCATTTTTAGTTACAATTTTAGAGGGAAATTGATTTTTTTTCCTGACTTTCCCTTGCTGTGTGGGGACAGCTAGGCGGAAAAAAAAACAAGTGGTGTTTTTTTTTTATTCAATTTCGAAATATCGAGAAAGTAGTATGTTTTGAAATAATAACTAAGAAGTATTAATTTGCCTAAATATTTAAGAGAAGGGTGTAAAATTAGAGTGGTAGATTAATACTTAACCGCACCGCCTCGTACAAAAACCATAAACGTGTGTTGGACGTAATATTTTATTATAAGTTAATGCAATCTCATTGAAATGTGAAAACCCCAGGTGTCAGGTTAGCCGATGTCACGGAGGAAGATGAATAGATGACCTTTTATGGCCGTTGACCCCCCCCCCCCCCCCCTCCAAAAAATACGTAAAAATATCTTCATTCAGGTTCAGTTTCGAATCGATTTCGTCAAACTTGTAATGGGATTGTAATTTTGCACAAAAACGTTAAACATCGTTTAGTGTGCATATATTAAAAAAAGACAAGAACGAACAGATAACCATCTCTTTGGTGACATTATACAAAATACATGTACATCTTTTTTTTTTATCCAAGTAGCGTTCCTTGTAAGAAATATACATGTGTTATGTTCAAGTGAAACAGGGCACAGAAAATCAAAACAAGAAAGTGAAATGTGAAGAAATATTTTTAACCGATTTTAATTGTGATTTACTGAAAAAGAAAGAGGTTAAAAGAAGGATTCAATTTTATAGGTACAGTTTATAAACCATTTATAAGACAATCCTTTCACATTACTGTTTGCCTCTTTATTATGTTCCTACTTCATAACTAAAACAGGTGAGGAAAATGAATTATATAAATAATGGAAATTTGCTTTAAACATTTGAAAATATTCAAAAAGTAAAATACGCTTCATGCAAGTAGCGAACATATTTCTTTTAATTCAGAATTGTTATAAAGGAATAAACTTTTTTTACAAGTTTGCATGAAACTTTTTTTAAAACAAGTTTATATATCTTGGCGTATTAGAATTTATTTCTCATTCTATTTTTTCGGCGATACAGAGAATACAGTTTTTTTTAATCCTATCGTAACAGTTAAAGAGAATTAAGTTACGTGCGTGTGTTTGTGAGTGAATGCTGACTCATAACCGAAAATTATACTTAAAAAATATATCGGGATGGATGTGCTATTTTGCGAGGAGATGTCCCAAATCGTAACTAAGGGCCATTTCCGTACGAATGAGGATGTCCCGTTTTTGCCATTCGTAACTACTCGGCCATTTTCCGAGAAAGAGTAAATGACAAATACATCCATCAAACTTTGTGTTTGTGTTACTTTTATATGGATGTGATATGCACAGGCACTTGTATCTGTAATATTTTTTTTACCCATAGTATAATAATAACACAGTGTTATTATTATACTATGGGTAAAAAAAATATTACAGATACAAGTGCCTGTGGTGATATGGTCTACATAAGGTTATAGATGTGTGCAAAAAACTAACTTCAGTGAACTTGTTAAATTAGTTAAATTACACTGGAGAGCATAAAGAGAAATATTATTTATCGTTCACGGTCCAAATGGCCGAGTAGTTACGATTGCCGTTTTTGCGTGCGGTGTCCTTCTGATCTCTCTCTCTCTCTCTCTTAATGTTTAAATGTTACAAGTACTTTATATATTTTTTTTTTTTTTTATAAATTGAGCTACATTATTTAGAATAAAAAGATAATTTGTGTGGGTTTAATTAAGTATTATTTTTCCTACTGGATACATTATAAACCGTTCTTAGATTTCTGTCTAGAGTCTATACCCACATCCCCCTTCACGTAATTACTAGATATGCTCTAAAATAGAATTAAAATAGTAATAATATACGAAATCCCTTAGGAATATTTACATACTAATCGCTTGGAAGAAAAAAATTAATATTTAATCAAGTTTGTAATCCTCAAAACGTTTGAGGTTACTTAAATAACGTAATTTTTTTTTTTTTTTGGAAATTGAATTAGACGCAGGCGACGTCATTACTTTTTCCGTGAGTAACGTCAAAGTTGTTTTGGTGCGCCCTTACTAAAATGCTTGTAAAATACTGAAAAAATGAGATATTTTCATAATTTATGTATATTTGCATTCAGAAAGAGTCCGGCTATCAAAATCTACAAAAAAGTCAATTTATGAAAATTTGACCTTAAGGGCCCTTTTCTCGTGACGGCAGTCATATCAATATTCATATTTTTTCATTATGTCCATCAGGTTTTGTGAAGTCAATTAAAAAGAAATCAATGAGTACTGATTTTGGATACCTATACATGTATATAACTAATTGTGCAAAAAGCAAAACGTTTTTCATCTTGCATGAATATGAGAAGCAGATGATTGCATGTTTTGGTTAGCTTTTTTGTTTCCTTTCATTTCCTAACCAGGTTGTATGTTTTGTAATGTAAATAATTTTTTTCATTGATAAAAAGATATTTAATAAGAAAGTTATACATTGTAAGATTCTTTATAAAATAAAATTTATTTTCCATAATATTGTTTCCATATCTATTTTTTTAAATTGAAGACAAGATCACAGAAAAGGTCTCAGTAAAAAAAAAAATGTTGATTCAGTTGAATAGCTAAGAATAAAAAATTTGACAAGCACATCAACCATGTTTTTGACAGGGCATAAAAATGTTGTAAAAGTAGCTAAGGGGTACCATATTAGAAAGTTTGATGTTTGTTAAGCAAAGGTTGTAACAAATTTTGAGCTGGTTTTATGACCAAATAAGCAGAGGAAAAATAATCTGTCCTCTTTTATCTAAAAGGAGAAAAAAAATATGTTTTAACATTACCTTCAAAGCTCTTTTCACAAGCTTTGCCAGTAAAGATGTTTTTCCTTGGCCTACTGCTCCAGACAAGCAAACCATCAAATTGTCACCATCCTCACATTTCCAGAATTCAGGGTCCCCTGTGCATTTTTTAATTTAAATATCAAATCCTTTGAACTGAATTTTTTGTGAATAATATAAGGTTTTATCAATTCCACCGTGCCATAGCGTTACTATGATGCAATTATTCCGTAACGTATGATGAAACGATTCCTTATGGAGTTTTTACATGGAGATTTGACTAAAGTAAGTTAATGTCATATGTGTATGCCTTAAACGCAAAATAGCCCTAATTGTGTTAGCCGTTGCATTATAGGAATGACACAGGCATCTGTTGACATAACGGACAATGTCCAGTGATGCGCCGTTTTCTTAAACACTTTGCACTTTCATAATAAAGAGGCTTATAAGTTCAATTTATTCATAGAACTTTTTTCCCAACCAAGGTACAAGATCAGCTACAAGTTTACCATA